TTATTATTATTAATATTATTATATTATTATTATTATTATTGTTATTATTGCTATTATTACTGTTATTGTTATTATTATCGTTATTATTATTTTTATTATTGTTATTATTATTATGAATATTGTTAGGATTTCGAGGATTATTTGGACTTATGTAGAAATACCCCAGATGGCTTTAAATGGTAATATTGAATGAATACTTCCGAGAAATGTCAAATGCATTTTTCAATTATCACAATTGCATTATCTGAGCTTTTAACTTTTTTCTTTTTCATTTCTCGACATTGGAGTTTTATGCTGCACTTATCCCATGTAAAATTATCTGAAGCTATTTCTTATTTTTATTTTTCTATCTTTTACAAATATCCTCGGGGATTTTTCTCGATATTTCCCATATTATGCTATCCAGTGACATATAAATCCATCAAAAGAAAAAAAAAGAAAAAACAAAAAAGTCAAAGCAAAAAAAAATAGTAAAAGACAAAATAATAATTGCTCTCATTTAATGTTCATCTGCTTTTTTTGTCACTAAATGCTTGGAAATTTACAATTGAATCTCTTTTTTCTAAATTTTATTTGTCATTGCAATGTTTCATTATATAGTCAAAAGTAATCAACCAGTATGGGTCAGTTTCAAATGAATGAAACTGAAGTTATAATTCTAAATCAGAGATAAGCAATATTTGTAGAAATAATGGGTATATCTGTAAATGGTCAAATCTTAAAAGTCTAATTAAAAAATGTAAATAATTTAGGCTTAAAATTCAATAAGTTGTTTTTTAGGCATTAAATTTAACGCTTTCCCAGCTTCTATCTTGCACTAATTATTATAATTAGTGCTAGTTCCCTATTCAGTCAGATACGTTTCTTATAAAGGATCCATATTTCGCAAAAATCCTGAAATAAATTTCGGATAATTTAAATTATTTAAATCAAAAATAAAACGGGCTAAAGGAATAATTAAACAAAGCTTTAGACATTTGTCTTTTTATATTCGTAATAAAAGGACAGGAAAAAAGGGAAGAGGCAAAGGATGGTTGTAATATTTACTTACATGCATAATTTAATTTCATATTTTAGAACAACAATTCACTCAACTTATAAAGCTTTAAATTTTAATGTAAAATTTACAAATTGGAATTCCAAATAAATTTTTTTTTCTTTTTTTGACATTCATCGCTCAAATACTTTACAAAAATCATTGATAATGTCACGGTCATCAAAAATAAAAATGATTTGATAAATTTCTTTTTGTGTCATTTTTTCGAAAAAAAAAAATGGGTCAAAAGTTAAGACAAAACCATTCGTTACATTTATTTCAAAATTTTCAAAAAAATCTTTATCTTCGGGATTTTTCTTCGAAAAAAAAGAACTATTTCGTGCATTTCAATATTAAAAATGAAGAAAAAAGAAAATTAAAATCAATTTTGTTTGCAAATTTTTAATTTTTATTTATTTTGTAAATTTTCTTTTCTTTTTTTAATTTCTCTTCTATTTCATTACTAAACGCGTTATTCAATTTTCCTGAATTAATACGAAAGAAAAAAGGGACAAAACGAGAAAAGTAAAAAGGAAATAAATGATTGAATGAATAAATTGTTTTTTAATAATTTCAGAAATTAATAATATTGTAATTCCATGCCGCATAACAGTTTATCACCGATTTTTTTATCGGATTTACCGGATTATTGCATTGGACGAATTGATGAAAAATGTCCAATTTGTTTCCGTTGTGAAAAGGTATAATCGTTCAATTTTTAAAATTTTAAATTAATAAATTGTAATTTAACACGAAAGAAAAAATGAAACTTATTTTTCCTCCTTTTACTCATTTCTTTTTTTTCATTTCAATCATTTGATAGTTGGAGATTTTTTTCCTCAGCTTTTACAATAATTTATAGGACTAATGTTAAAGGAATATTTATATTTCAAAATGAATAGCACTTTAAACATGCCTTTTGTTAATTATGGTTAACTGTTAATTATGGGTAATAACCTAATTAACACTATATTTCAATTAAGAGTGATAACACCGATTTGTTTAGATTCAAAAGTATCATTTCCAAACTTGAATTTAAAGTTTTTGTTTAAATTATTGATTGGTATCTCAGAAAGCAGAACATATGAGTAAACATTTGCGCCGATTTCGATTAGATGGTGGATTTCGACCATTTTGGAAATATTATCAAGCTGATGCAACTGTAACACCATCCCAGTCATTAACTTGTTCTAAAAATGGTTCGTAATTTTGGTATAAAAATTGCAATAAGCAACTATTTTAATTAATTAGTGTTACATTTTAATGAACAAATTGTTACAGGATTAATTAAAATGAACAATAACCTTTCATATTTAAAGGTCGACGAAAAATGGATTCACGTAGTACTGTAAGAAGTTATCCAACATATACCGAAAATTCTATGGGTAAATCAATGCTAGAATATTTGCGCACTGATAGTGTTCCAACTTTGAATTTGAAACAATCATTTTCAACTCTTCGACGATTTAAGCGACGAGATTTCAGTTAGTTTCGTTCTTCGTCTTTTTTTTAATTTCTAAAATTTAAAAAAATCTAATGCAAACACGAATAGTGTTGATATTAATAGCGATAATGGTAATAATAGTAGTATTGCTAATAACGTTGATAATGATAGCAACAATAATGTTTACTTACAAAAATAATCATCACAATAATGTTGAAAGTGATAATAATGTTAATAATGGTAATATTGACAATAATGACAATAATAATAATAATAACAAATTTTATTAATGGCAAAGAAAAATTTCATCCTAACAATATGAAAATTACATTAACGGTTAAAAAATATTTTATCGAAACATTGGTGAAAATAAATTTCTGTCCAATATATAAATTAGTTTAAAAATAATTTAAAGGAACTGAATAATTCGGTACATTTTGATGAATAAGTATTGACAAAATTAAAGTTAAATAAGGAAACAAATCCAGATAAATGGAAAAACTCTTTGAAATAAAAATTGATAATTTTAAAAAGTGTTGAATGTTTATTTACATTATCGGTTTGAAATAACAGTGACATGCATTCAGCTGTGTTAACAAAAATGTTATTACATTTTGTAAATTCATTCATAAATTGATTTTCATTCCAACAATACGAAATATATATTTTCTAAATTAAAGTATATTTAAAGCATGGAATTGAAGAATTGAAATTTTTCGGATTTTAAATTTGTCCATCAGTTTCCACATGTATTCTTATTACTATTATTATTATTATTATTATTATCATTAATATTATTATTATTGTTAATATTATTATTATTATTATTGTTATTATTATTATTATTATTATTATTATTATTGTCATTATTATTATTATTATTATTATTATTATTATTATTATTATTATTATTATTATTATATATTATTATTATTATTATTATTATTATTATTATTATTATTATTATTATTATTATTATTATTATTATTATTATTATTATTATTATTATTATTA